TACCCCCATTGAAAGGCTTGGAGGGGCCAAGACAATTTTTAATATAACTCCGATTGGATTAGTCTGAAAGAAGATAGTCACATACACCTACACTCTAAAAAATGCTGGGTTAAATACAACCCAGTGCTGGGTAAAATAGGGACAAACCCAGCAATTGGGTTATTTTGACCCAGCGGTTGGGTTAAATGTTTAACCCAACCTTCTGGGTAGTAACCCAACTGCTGGGTCAAAACAACCCAATTGCTGGGTTTGTCCCTATTTTACCCAGCACTGGGTTGTATTTAACCCAGCATTTTTTAGAGTGTAGGATGTTTTGAGGGTGAGTAAAACACAGGCAAATTTTCATTTTTGGGTGAACTAACCCTTTAAAGGGGTCATCGGATGCCCATTTTCCACAGGTTGATATGATTCTTTAGGGTCTTAATGAAAAGTTCGTAACATAGTTTGGTTAAAATTTCTCAATGGTAGTGTAAAAAACCTTTTTACCCTGTCAAAAACAGCTCTTTTCAGAGCAAGCTGTTTTTGTAGCATTATTCCTTTAAAAGGGTCATATGATGCAATTTCAAGTTTTCCTTTCTCTTTGGAGTGTTACAAGCTGTTCGTGAATAGATAAGATCCCTATATTTGCAAAGACTAAAGTCTCAAACCTAAAGAGATATTCTTTATAAAAGTTAAGACTCGTCCACGCCTACCTAAAACACCTTGTTTAAACACGCCCCACATGTCTACGTCACTGTGTGGGAAGATTTGCATAACACCGCCCAAATGTTCACACAAAGAATGAAGGCGTAACTTTGATTCTCGCTGTAGTATTGTTGTTGCCTCCGCTACCATGTCGTGGAGATGCTGTGTTTCGTTGTGAAAGCGAAAATACTTTGGCCTTCTAAAAGAGGACACAACTAGAAATCAGTGGTTAAGTTGTATTTACAACACTGTTCCAGAACAGTTCAACCCAAATATTCAGATGTGTGCAACGCATTTTACGGAGGACATTTTCCTGAACCTGGGAGAGTAGCCTACAATGCCGGTTGTTCTGACTCACAGCTTGTAAGTATGTTTTCATTTTTAAAGAATTTGCCACTGACGATTCAAATGTGAGTTTTGAGCAGTGTTTTTGCGCTTGTTGTTTGTCGTTTCTCCGATCACAAATGCAGACATGGTTTTATGTTTATGCGGCGCGATGCATAAACATAAAACAGTATAAGTCATTATAATCAGTAATTTTGTCCCCACTGGATGCAACAAATGCCTTGTTTGTAATGGGTTTTATTGGTTTTGTCTCGTCGCACCGGGACACGGCATTACAGTATGGTAAGGGGTGTAATATTTCCGTCACACACTTGAGGCAATCACAACGCACTGGATACCTGGCCAATCAGAGCACACATCGCTTTTCAGAACGATGAGCTTTGTAAAAATCGACGCGTTTCAGAAAGGCGGGGCATAGAGGAGAAACAATAATGTACAGTATGTGGAAAATAATGTTTTTTTTTTAACCTTAAACCACATAGGCACATTGCACTACACCAAATACACAAAATAATGTTCTTTTAAGCAGCGTCATATGACCCCTTTAAATGTTAATGAGCTCTACTGACGCCGCCCCTCTCTTCCGAGCTGCTCTCTGAGGGACTGTTTACTTTAGGCACATTGCACTACACCAAATACACAAAATAATGTTCTTTTAAGCAGCGTCATATGACCCCTTTAAATGTTAATGAGCTCTGCTGACCCCACCCCTCTCTTCCGAGCTGCTCTCTGAGGGACTGTTTACTTTAGCCGCATTCATCGTGAAACTTGCTAATTAGCACATTATTAGGAAATGCGATTTGCAAAGATTCATTTAAAAAACCTTATTCTCACTTCTTCTGTATAGGTGAAGCTGGATCACGAATGATTTGCACAAACATAAAGGCATTTATGTAGATCGGGGCGCATTCCCTTCAAAAACAAACGTAATCCACTGCGTCTTCAGCGGCTCAGATGTCGGGAGTAAATGACGACTGCTATGTTTATTATTGCATCCAACAACAGAACACCTCAATCGCTTAGGAGTCATTCTTGTCTACATCTGCTCCGGCGGTGAAACAATGGCGGACTGATGACAGCTCAATCAGGGTGGGTGTAAGACGCCAGTCCAGTCTGTGCTGAAACGCTACTGTCAATCAAACTATCGTGGGAGGGGCCTGTTTTTGTGATGTCACACAGACAGGCATCTGAGATCGGCTCGATTTGAGAAAAGGGTAAAGATTTTAGTAGATAAAAAAAAAAAACCCTGGGTGGATTTGTATCATTATAGGGTGGTTGTGTACACACACTGCCAACACACATTTCAGTTCAAACAACTTGTAAAAGTGCATGTAGCATCCAATGACCCCTTTAACTATAACGCGCTTCATAAAATGCCACTACTGACCAGATTTCCGAGAGGTCAACTAATGCATTAAAATGTAAAAAAAAAGATGTACTTTCTTCAACATTCTGGTGAGTGTGCCTGAGAAACACTGAAATTAATGGGGTTTAATGCTGGAACTATTCCATGACACACTTTACTTCCGCATTCTTCAGTTCCTATGGAAGCCAGATTGGCTTTAATATAAGCTGTTTTAGACTAACAAGAAAGGTTTGAGTTCTGAAACTTACTGGATGTTTTTATAGTACAATGACCTTTTATATGTCAAAAGATCTCTCAGTTCATGACCCCTTTAAATAATTTTTTTTTAGCATGAGCTATTGGTGTGGCCATACCAGAGTAATCGGAATATTGTAGTCATTTGGCTATTTTCATTATTGAGGACAATGCAGAATACAGCTCAGTAATAATCTATGTAGAGGTTTTTGTTTATAAACTTGAACAGTGCACGCGCCTTGTTTCTAAGAGACACGCACATGACAAATGAAAACAATGTTTTAATGGAAGTTGGTTTCCTCATGCTTAGTGTGATTAACTCATTCTAGCACCATCCAAATTTCCCCCTTTATGGTCTGCTAAACTCGGTATGTAACTACACTGGAAATGCGTGATTGACAGGCCTACAACCAGAAATATCAACATCTTTCCACAGAACTGGATTATGCATGTTCTTATGTTCCTTTGTCCTTTGTCCCTTGTTAATTAATTAATTATTGCTGCCAGTATGCAGTCAGTATGCATTATTTATTCTGACTTTCTTATGTACATATTAGTTTAGATCTTAGTAAATCTTAAGTACACACCAATAGTAGATTCATTAATACTTCCCAATAGATATGGTCCCAATTGATATTTCCTGGCAAGATAAAAATCATTCACAGTATATATATTTTGTATTTTTCACTCAACCATTTTACTATTGATTTCCTCACTGTAGCAGAGGTGGCCATGAAGACCCATTGCATCATTAGATCATTGCAGGCCAAGTAGGAAACACCTCCTTTCCAGAGTGGAGTAAAACACAGCGCTGAACTAGAAGAGTTTTATGCCTGGAATCCCATATTAATCTATTTGAATGTAAAGAAAATATATAAGACACACTCAGACTGTCATACACACCTATAAATACATTATTATAGAGGGATCATTAGGTGACTGCCCTGTGAAAATGGCACCTGTAAGACTATAAATTGTGTGGGGGTATAGCTCAGTGGTAGAGCATTTGACTGCAGATCAAGAGGTCCCCGGTTCAAATCCGAGTGCCCCCTTGTTGATTTTTTTTTTATTATAATCAGGTCACATGGTTAGATGGCTAAAAACCAATATGAATATGCATATAACTAACCGCAAACCTTAACAATAATATACAGGTGCATCTCAATAAATTAGAATGTCGTGGAAAAGTTCATTTATTTCAGTAATTCAACTCAAATTGTGAAACTCGTGTATTAAATAAATTCAATGCACACAGACTGAAGTAGTTTAAGTCTTTGGTTCTTTTAATTGTGATGATTTTGGCTCACATTTAACAAAAACCCACCAATTCACCATCTCAACAAATTAGAATATGGTGACATGCCAATCAGCTAATCAACACAAAACACCTGCAAAGGTTTCCTGAGCCTTCAAAATGGCCTCTCAGTTTGGTTCACTAGCCAAGAACCTGAAGCCTTCCATGAATTTTCATGGCCATAAATCTCACCTACCAGTAACACGTACACAGGGCCTGCTTACTAAACACACACCCTGACTGACTATATAAGCAATTATTTTGGACTATTATTATTATAGACTGTCATCAAATCTGCTCACTCAACAAGCCCACATTGTCATCAATAGGAGTAGGAACTGTGCTATATGTTATTCCATAAAAATCACTATTTATTACTGCAGTTTTTAAGAAAACGCCATGTACACTTTTATATTTGTATGTGTTCTGTATATCAAAGAGTTTTATTTTTAGCAACAGTAATATCAGAATCTACATTTTGTGAGGGTAGGCATAAAAATATTGTTCTGATCCAAATAGAATATATTATACTTATTACTTATATTCTTACACTAATGTATACTGATACATAAGAAAATTTATTTTGACTTTTGCACCATTCTAAAACCCAGAAAATCTATTTTGCTCTTATAAAGATTTATTAAGTTTAGCACATCACCCATAAAGGGGTGCAAATTAGATCTCACCTTTGTAAGGTTTAAAAAAACAAGTTATTCAGAAACCTAGATTAAAATAAAACGTTGGTGACAGATTGTCCACCGACAATGATATGTTCCTTAATGCATTAGCAAATAAAAATGCACACAGCATGCATAGCAAATAGATGTTCAGGTCTTTTGTCAGTTTTAAGTCTTAAAGTAATCATTAAGAACAAATGCATTAGCATATGGATCTACAAAAGGAGGGGACAGATAATCATCTGAAAGATCAATTCAAATTGAGTTGTAGTCAGCTTCAGTTTGATCTGATAATCATCAATTGTCTTTATCTCGCTTGGTCTGCACCTCTATTTTACCTATTCAACAATTATACATTTTGAACCCGGCTAAATATATTTCTCAAAGACAAAGGCACGTTTTTAGTAGCTTTTTATTTGTACAAAACGTTTTTTGTACAAAATTATATAAGAAAACACACTATGAACATCCAGTCTACTTTCAAAAATAAAATACTTGAACATGTTCCATTCTGCATGCACTCATCTGTACAACATACACAAATCAATTCCCTTTAAATACTTCAAGTAATGCTTGTTCAATAGCTTAGTGGCTCGTCATGAATCAGTACGGGCATGTGAACCATCACCCCACCCATTTCAGATGGATGCCTGTAGACAATAACTCCATGTGAGAAGCGGAGCCGTCAGCACATCCAGAGGTCAATACAGTGGCACCGACACATCATGATCAGGTCAGATCATTTCAGAAGTCTGTAATGTAAACACGTGGACCTCTAGAACGGAGTCACATCATGTACAAACACAAATGTTTATACACACACACACACACACACACACACACACACACACAGAGTCTCCAGGCTTGTTAAAAGAGTAAGTGGATGAAGCGTGTTCCTCCAGGATTCAGTATTTGAAGATTACTCAGACAGAGGCACTGATAGCTGGATCAAAGTCTTAAGTAGGCCTTATCTCTCTTTCAGCAGTTCGGTTTGAGAAGCACTGCTGCTGGACTAATTCGCCACAACACGGGAACGCATCCAATCTAGACTGGCTGGTAAACTGTAGGGGAAGAGAATAAGGGTGGTTACACATTCAAATAAATAGGCTTTCACTCAGATCAAGACTTGGAAACATCTTAAACAAGCTAAACACACAGGTAAACATACGCACTCCTAAAAAGCACACATACCCTTCTCCAGTGAGTGCGCAGCAGGCCTGGACATGCCAGGAGTGAGCGTTGAGCGAGCTGAGAGTCAGACTCTGAGAGATCTCTGCAGCAGACATGCTGTCCTTCATGTCCTGCTTATTCGCCAAAACCAGCACGGATGCGTTCTGCAGATCCTGTGTGGACACACAAGGAGGAGAAGGAATGAAATGAAATTGTCAACAATAAAGAATAATGTTCAAAACAGTTAAAGGGGTCATATGACGCGATTTCAATTTTTCCTTTCTCTTTGGAGTGTTACAAGCTCTTGGTGCATAAAGAAGATCTGTAAAGTTGCAAAGACTAAAGTCTCAAATCCAAAGAGATATTCTTTATAAAAGTTAAGAGTCAGTCACACCCCCCTAAAACGGCTCGTTCTAACACGCCCCCACATATCTATCTCACTAAGCTAGACTCACTTGGGCTTGTCTAACCTAACCCTAAAAGCCTGATTCAATCATTTGTTTGCTAATTTAAAATGTACACTAAAGTCCCTAGATGACATTTTAATCATGTTAAAATGTTTTCAATAAAATATATGTAGGCAAATATTGCTGTTTGTTGTTATATTGGTGAATATAATTAAAAAATATAAAACAAACAACATATTTGCATGATTAAATTTTTTTTTTAATGTATTTTGCTATCAAATAGGCTATGGTTTCTCCGGATATGGATAATGGTTTCACTGATTAAAAACAATGGCTTTTTTCAAATATAGATATTATTTTAAACCAGGGTTATATTATTGTTAACTAAAACTAGTAAAAAAAATTTTTTTAACTTAAATAATATAAAATATAAATATTAGATGGGAAAAACAAACCAAATGAAAAACTGAACAAATAAATTAAACCTACAAATTTTTTTTTTTTTTAAATGTGTGTGTGTGTATATATATATATATATATATTTTTTTTTTTTTTTATTAAACCCAGACCATGATACTAGACATGCAAAGAGCATGAAATACCCATCATGAAATATTCATAACAACTGTGTCATGAAGCAGCTGAATGCAAACTAACCTCATGAGCAAGCATGCGATGAAGCTCCTCTTTAGTTACAGTCAGGCGTTCTCGATCAGTGCTATCAACAACCAGGATGACAATCTGTTACATTTAGAGAGGCAAAATATACATTTTATAAAGACAATAAAGTTGTCAACAATATATTGTATCTGCCTTTAAGCAGTAGGGAAAGACACATAAAAAGTAGAACAATGATTAGAGTTTTACATATTTTCTGGTTAATGACACACACCTCTGTATTACAGTAATACGAGTTCCAGGTAGCTCTGAGACTCTCCTGACCACCAATGTCCCAGACGAGGAAGCGTGTTTTCTTTACTGCAATTTCCTCTACATTGCTGCCAATTGTGGGAGAAGTCTGCACGGCTTCTTTTGTTAAACTGGAAATAACAATGTATACAAGGTTCAAAAGCTGAGTGGAAACACATAACATGTAATAACAAACAGATAAAAGTCATGTGCTTCTCCTGTTTATACTTTCAAAAAGAAAAACACTTACAACTGGTAGAGGATGGTGGTCTTCCCGGCATTGTCCAAACCGACAATAATTACTTTGTGTTCTAAAAAGAGAAAAAGCAGAATGTCAGTGGACACACACACACACACACACACACGTCTGGTTTACTGTCCTTTTGGGGACCCTCCATAGGCGTAATGTTTTTTATACTGTACAAACTGTATTTGATCTCACCCTTCACCTAAACCTACAGGCATTTTTTACATTCTCAAAAAAAAAAAACTCATTCTGTATGATTTATAAGCTTGTTTCTCCATGGGGACCTCAAGTTAAGTCACCACAATTACACGGGTCCCCACAAGTTGGTGTGTATTCAGCTTTTAAGTCCCCACCAGGACAGAAAAAAAATTCACACACACACAATGTTTTAATCTAACTTTGTTTAACCCGTTCTGTATGACAATGTCATCTGATAACATCAACCTGACTGACATCCACGTAATGCATTTCTAAGAACACAGCATTCAGTGATCTACCTCTATTCATGTTTAACAAAGTTCAGAAGAGTTGGGTAAATTGGTGCAGAATAACTATAAGCAAGCAAAACTCCTCAGATCTTTGAACCTCACTGGCATGTTCTTATCTTATCTGACATGTGTACAGACAGAACAGATCATCCTAACACAGACTTGCATAAACATGTATTTGTCAAAGACATGTTATAAGTGCCACTTAAACGGGCCTTTCCCATTTAAACCCTGGGTCAATATTAACCCTGGATAATCTTGCTTCACATTTCAACACTATTCATGTTTGATCCCGGTTTAGTACTTCAGTTTCGAGGATTCACACTGTACATTTGGTTATTTAGGTGGCCATTGGCATTGACTGAACCAAAAGTACAATCAATGTGACTATTTGAACTGTTTATATCTATCTGTGGATGTTTTAAGTGAATGTCAAATCTGAATTCATCTGAAACATGCAGTACAAACAGAAGTCCGACTTTCGATAGATTAAACAGCGCGTCAACGTTTCAGAAAACGAACAAAGCTAATGAATATTTAATGATAACGAGCTGAGGACGTTCATGATTGCTTATAGGCTACTAAACAGCTCACTTTATTCAAATCGCTTCTGAATACCTTTGACACCACAGATTCATAATCGTAACCCGGGGCTAAAAGTGCCGACTGTCTTATAGTTGTGAAACTATCATGACCATCCGGAGTTTGAAAACACGTTAACCATTAAGAAGTCAAGTGCATTACAAAAGCCCTGGAGAGTACAGCATGTTAAGTTTCTCAATAGCCAGGGCAGAATGTTACCTTGACAAGTGGAGGGTGAGAAAATGACAGAATTTTCATTTTTGGGTGAACTGTCCCTTTAAGATGGCTTGATCAGAAACTTTGCATCAACAGCACATAATTTACATTTAACTTGTGTGAATTAAGGGGTTGGACTGTAAACCAGGATTGCCCCCATAAATGAGAGGTGATGGCCATCTTTTCATTTCTTCCTCACACCCCGTTGTCTCGATCCTGCATTGTTTCCTTGCTCTGTCCTTTTTGTGCGCTTCCTGACCCCCCACCACCAGATATTCTTTCTCACCCTGTCCACCCCCATCACTTCACACCATTACCTCTTTCCCCTCTATTTATCACTTCACTTTGTGATCCCTTCTTCTCATGTTTCCCACAAGTCCCTAGTGGATCTATACCGATGGTTCTCAGCCTTTTTGACTCAAAGGCTCCATTATCCAACATGATATTCAAAGGCCTCCCCAATTTCCGCTAAGATACTTCTGGTGTTTCGAAAGTATTTATGACAAAGCTTATTTTCATACTTTTTATTAATATATTAAATGTATTAATGTGGCTAATGGTTTGATTAATTATTAAATTAATTTGTAAATTTAACATTAAATATAATATAAATGTAAATAGTTAATAGTATATTTTTTTGGCATATTTCATATTTTATTTAGTATACTAAATTATGGAACCATTACTTATTTGATGATTCTACAAGTTATATTCTGGATTCAAGAACTGTATGTTCTTCAATAAAACCAAAAGTAATTGAGGGAAAATAAAAATAAATTTGATTTCATGTTACATTTTTTTAAGCATTTCAATTTGAATTAGAGATTGATCATTATAATAATATTAATATTGATTTATAAATTTTTACTAAATTGGATGTTCACTGAGGCCTCCTGGTTGAGAACCACTGATATATTGCATCCATTTTGTAGGAAACTAAATGATGTGAAGATAACAATGACACGGAAAACAGTTGATCTGGATTAAAATTTTTAATTAAAATATGAATTTATCCACAGATTAAAAACAAAAAGTAAAATGGAGCTAAAATTAGTGTGAACATATGTCTTTATTTTCCCAGACATGTCCTGGCCAGGATTTCTAAAGTCAGAGCCAGCCTGCAGATTTGAGTTGACAGATTTCTTAATAAATCGCGTAGTGCATTATGGACACAGACTTTTTTTGGCTTCAGACTATCATTCCATCCAGTCAGAGGATATCAAACATGTTTGATAGTTTGAGCCAATTTTAAAAAGCATATTTTTTTCATTTGTCATCTGCATTTGTCAGTTTTTCTTCTGTAACTATTTACAAAGTCGGCAAATGTATGATGCTTAGTGTTTTCAAATCTGATCAGATTTGAAAAGTTATGTAGTGTATTCAAGCCTTTAGAAATCCTGGCCAAGAAGAAAGCCTGTCCGAGAAAAAGAGGACTTATGTAATGATTTGTTTGCCTTATGCGAATGTTGTGAGTGTTAGCTGTACAGCGTTTGTCAATGATTGTGTGTTTCTCTGGGTTGTAAACAGATCCAACTATAGAGATTCTATTTAGTGTCATTCTAAACAACACCTCACCCTCATCTCAGGTAAACCTGCTCTAGCGAATATACACATCTCTGCTCCACTCCTCCTGGTTATGGTTACGGCCCGTCGTCACCCCACCACCTTCTGCATCTTGAGAGTAGCGCTCCCTCAGCTTGCCTCGTCCACGCTGGTGCTGATTGGCTGGTGGTGGGGCCATGTTGAGGTTCTCCTGGTCAGGCTCCGCCCCTTCATCCTCCCAGGAGGCCTGGCGAGGAGCGTGGTGGGCAGGGTTTAGACGGTACGAGCGACACGGGTCCGGCTCCTCGTATGGGTCCGTCTCCATGTCGTCAGTGTAGGCGGAATCCCTGCTGCCCTGGGTCTCGGAATCGAAAGTGTCCTGCCGCGACAGACCTCGTCCACCTGTTTGCAACTGGCTGCGTGAAGAGCGCAGCGGCTGCTTGCCACCCAGGTCGCTCTGGTAGTCTTGGAGACTGCCACGTTCAGGCCCTTCCCTCTTCTGTTCTCCATGCACCAGGAATGGCCCCTACAGCAACCCCAAAACACACCACAACAGGCCAATGCACATGCAGACACACAAAACAGAGTAAGCGGCATGTTAATACAAAGATTAGAGGTCAGCTTTTTACCTTACAAGTTATTTCAACACGTTCCAAGCAATACTATAACCTGAATAACAAATGGCATACATAAAATACATTCTTTACTCATGCTATTATAGGAAAAGGCCATTTTGGTAATGAGATACCAGGGCTCATAATACTCTTATGCTTTGTGTCGTTGCACAAAGCTATGACTATTGCTATGGAGAAACTACAGTTGCAGTTAGTTACCTCTGATTTCTAAGCGCAATCTCTACATTTCATAAAATACAATTTTATAATGCAATAATTAATTCTCTTGCTTTACTTTAAAAATACCTTAAAATACCTTTTAGATTTTCAAAAACATTAGAAAGTAAAATGTATCTGATAAACTGCAGACATAAATAATCACACCATGCAGTAATGTAAAAAAATATTAATCATTAGCGCCCTCTAGTGGCCATATCAAACACATCACACAATAAATAAAGCTGATTTCAACGTGTTTGGTGATGATTCAAAAATGTTGGGCTAGATTAGATCAGATTAGATCATCTAAATTAGATCAGTCATCTTTGGAGTTGAAAAGCATCTCATATTGCAACCCTCTTCCGGAAAAGTTATTAACAAAAATATTGACCAAGATCTTTGTTATCATATAAATTGTTTTTATTTTTAAATCACACACACACACACACACACACACACACACACACACACACATATATTTGAATAAAAAATAATAATAATAACTAAGAAGTGAAGCCATTTAAATATTTGAGGTGCCTCGTGACTATAAGAGGATAAACAGTTTTTATTAAAAGAGCATCTCAAAGCTGCATAACTTTGGTCTCCTAGACAACCGTGTAATTGTGAAAACTGAGCAGATGGATGCTCATTTTTTGTTGTTCAGATTGCAGTGAGATAGTTGTAAAAGCACACATACTGACTCCATCCTTGGTTTCCCTTACTCACTCACTCACTCGCTGTCTCTCGCTTCTGCACGCAAACACACACTTTCATTTAACTTGGGTAAACAACATTAGCGTCAATGCACATACACAAGCTTCTGTTAGAAATTCGGCTCAGTGTTAATAGGATAATGGATCTAAGTGCATTTTTTCAGAGCTGGTGCCATGGCAACCTGGAAGAGGGTAGCGATCTGAACTACGTTTCCTAGATGACAAGTGGCCACTGTAAAGAGCAGCAGGTGTTTCTAATGAGGGGACACTGTGTGGACTTTTTATCATTATTTATATCACTGAGAGATCCATCAGAGGAGAGGAGCAGAGACAGATAACAGAATTACAGTCGGGCATTTCTATCTCTTGAGCAGCCATCGTTACTTTTCTGTGATTGGGAGACGGGTACAAGACTCTTCAATATCCCACTGTAATCCTGGCCCCATTTTTAGAGGGCATGTTCCTCCTCCTGTTGCCCTTGCCCTGTAGCAAGGGAGCCATCGAGGAGCTCCAAGTTGCGACGCAGGGAAGTGAGTACCTGTACCTGCAGGTTGGAGACGGGTTCGGGTGAAGCTGCCAGGGCGGCTGTGGCCATGGTGCGATTGAGCAGAGGGTTGGGTGGGTTGCTGCTCGGAGGGTGTGTAGCCTTCCAGTAGGCCTCCAGGTATTCAGCCAGGTGTTCACATGCATCCTCCAGCTGATTCTCATCTAATATTATGTCAAAAAGCTCCTGAAAAAGAGAAAAGGATGTGTTTTAAAAGAGAGCAAACATGCAGTCTATATGTTGGAAACAATTATGCTTCTATGCTATATATCTATGCTATCTTTGCATATGACTAGATAAGACTGAATCTGTGAGCACTCAAATTTCAAAAATCCTGTGTGTGCCTAAGAAACAGAAAATGAAACAGAGAATGAAGAAACAAAATAAAAAAGAAGAAGGAAATGCAGCTTAGGTATTAAATGTACAGAAGAATGAGCAAAAAGCTAACCCCCCCGCCCCTCCCCCCCCAACAACAAATAAAAAAAAAATCTAAAAGTATACATAAATGTAAATCAGCAGAAATCAAAAGTCATATACTCACTGGAGGACACTGTGCAAGTTTATCAGCTGCCACCATTTGGACATTGAGATGTTTGGCCTGAGATTTACCCCTGGACTTTATCAGCCTCTGCAACACCTGATAGCGAGGGAGACACAGAAACACAAATATACGCCCAATAAACATGTTCAGATACATTATGATGTACACACTGAAATCTTTTAACAAAAAACACAAACAAAAAAAGCATCTCTCTGAGGCAGATGTATTGAAACCAATTTGAGCTGTCATACACTACTGTTCAAAATTTTTATGGTCAGTAAGTTTTTCTTTTAAAGAAATTAATACTTTTATACAGCAAGGATGCTTTATTGATATTTAATTGATTAAAAGTGGCAGTGAATACAATTATAATGTAACAAAAGAGAAAAATATATATCACAGGTTCCACAAAAATAAAGGATCATGTGTCACTAAAGACTGTAGTAATGGCGGCTGAAACGTCAGCTTTACTATCACAGGAATAAATTACATTGTAAAATATATTCAAATAGAAAACACTTATTTGAACTGTAATAATATTTCACTAAATTACTGTATTTTATTTTTAAATGCAGCCATCGTGGCCATAAGAGATTTTTTTCAAAAACATTACAAAAACCTCATCGACCACAAACATTTGAATGGCAATCTGTATATTCAGCTAATATGTATAAACCTTTGGAGAGGCAATCTTGATGTAGACTATGATAGGTGCCAGTGACGTCTTGGCCAATTGAGATGGATGGTTGATTGTGTCGGCATCCAGAGCCACTAATTGGAGTGTCCGGGCCAGCTCAAAGATTCTCTCGATTTCACTCTGTACCTCAGCTGCCAGATGGGAAAAAAAAGGAATATGAATATGACAGTTCATGAATATAAAATACATATACATTCATAACTACATCTAAGCACAGAAAGTTCATCTATACACTGCTAAATTTATATTGTTAATTTGTATCTTGTCTCATTTTCTAGTAAAAATATTATCAAAACATCCTGAAAGGATCATAAAATAACTGGAGAAACCACATTGTTATCAATACATGTTTTCAGAGAAAGTATCTGGAATATGAGTGTATTTTGTCTAGCTTTTTTTCATTTAATTTTGCCATAAATGTCACTAAATTTTTGCAGTGTATAGCAGAAAATACTGAAAAAACACAAACACACCTCAAATTTTAATAAACAAGATGAATATCAGGAAGACTTACCTTACAATTTTATTTCATACTCAAACCTATGTTAGTTTATATCATGCATATGCAGGCTATTATGGTCTGCTCAAATATATGCATGTGTGAGTGTGTACACGTGCTAGTTTAGTTCCATTTAACTCTAAGTAAATGGAACCCTGAATAGTATGACTGTAGTTTCCAGAAGGCCGGTTACACGCTATGTGCAGCTTTCTGCATTGATCCATGGAAGTCTGTAGAAAGCTGCAGTTACGTAGATCAGTATGTGTGTTTGCGTATGTGGGTGTGAAGTGCTATATGAGGAGTGGCATCACACTTCTTACAGAGAGTCAGAATCTTTGCATTCAGTTAATTAAAAAAAAGCAGATAGCCATCCTACTTTTTAGTCAAGATACCATTTAAAAAATGTAATAAAATGTAGCTGAACTACTTTGAAGCTATTTAAGGGGCATCATCTTTTAAACTAACATATTACACATTTTACTATTACAAAATCAGAACAATGTTTTCCCGAACAAAACAATGAAGATCTCAATTAGGGTGACAGCATCTTTAACACTTTAAAACATAAACACACACCAAACTAAGTACTACTAACAACCTAACTACAAAACACCTTAATTAATAGGACAGAATGAAAATATTGTGATAACTGGTCCCTAAGCGTGTACACCATGAGAGGAACATGTGGATTCCTCAGAGAGCACAGTGCAATCTGAACACTCTGCACACATTTGTATGTGCACATACAGTATACTGTTCTAGTCAAATGTTATCCAGAATCCATCATTTCATTTACATATACACTAATGTTTTTGAATGAATTATCCTTTGTTTACAAAAAAACACATTTATTTGATAAAAAATACAGTAAAACAGTAACAATGTGAAATATTATTACAATTTAACAGTTTTCTATTGTAATATATTTTAAAATGTAATTTATTCATGTGACGGTAAAGCTGAATTTTCAGCATTACTCCAGTCTTCAGTGTCACATGATTCTTCTTAAATCATACTAATATGCTGATTTGTGCTGAATAAACATTTCTTATTATTATCACAGTTGAAAACATTTGGGCTGCCTAATATTTTGTGGAAACCACAATGTTTTTTCCAGGATACTATGATGAATAGAAAGTTCAGAATACTGTCACTTTTGATTAATTTAATGTATCTTTGCTGAATATTTTTTTTAATTTCTTTCAAAAACAAACAAAACAAAAAAACATATACTGACTGTAAACTTTTAAACGCTAGTGTGTATATATGCACTGCCCCTTACATTTTACATCCTTCCAAAATGTAACAAATTTACAAACTATTACAGCAAAAAATCCAAGTTTAATTCCTTGCGATTCACGTATGATATTATTTTTAATCATGCAGTGTATCAACACAGGCATGTCCTATTTTTTTTTAGCCTATCATCATAACACAAGATGTCAGTCTTGAATAATATGACTTGAGAAAGAGAATACCTATTGTGAATGTTATCTCAGGTTGTTCAGTTTTAAGGCTGTGTGTGCAATATAATGAGAAAACACGACACCTCTACTCAACACCGCCATTTGTTGGCAACAATAGCTTGTTATTGGAAAAGCTACACTGTTCTCAAAACAGTTTACCTACTGAAAAATGTTAGTGTTCTTTTTTTATAGTTAATAACACCACAACTGTGCCAACAAGTTAAGACTGTTGACTCCAAACTCAAGGTAGAGGGGTAAGTACAGGGACAGATGGATGAAGAGTTAGATGAATGGATGGGGACATGAATGAAAAGGGGAAAAGGGTGGGATGATAGGATACATACCCAGTATGTCTGAGGTGAAGAGAAAGAGAGAGGAAGGAAATGTGTGGTGGGAAAGAGTGGCAGGAGAGAGCAAGATGAAAAAGAGAAAAAGGCAGATCAGACATGACTTAACAGAGCAAGAGGAGGAAACACTAAGAAAAATGTTCAGGAAACAGAGAGAATGTGTACACTAGTGAAAACTGACAGGGCTTGACAAACTAATTTTTCAACCATCCAAAAATAGACTAACGGCCTACTCGCACAGAGAGTGCATATTTGCCAAAAAGTCAAATCATTTCTTAGTACGACTTTTTCTGACTGATTGTAAACACTTAAGACACTTTCTTTTTTTCCTCTATAGCAGCTATAAAATCAGAATTCATTTGCATTTCATTCATCCCAACAAACTGGCTATTTGTTTTGCTCTATATGTGAATAGTTCTGTATTTTGAAATGAGCTTTGTTCTTAAGTGCCTGGACTAACACGAATCCAAAACATTTGTTGTTTTGGTCATTCAGCGTGTTGCTAAACCGCATGTTCAGCCTGCTCTGGCTTTATGACCACATGAGGGAGCTCACTGAGTAGCAGTTACACATTTGTGTGCACTGTGCGTTTCATACCCAGACTGGATCTGGTGCTGGAGCGCTCGATGATCGTGTGTTTGCTGGGGTTGTTTAGGACAGAACGTTTGGCAAGTGAGATGTCTGCTGTCACCCTGGTGATGGATATTCTGGAACAAACAACAACCCATAACTATGGTATGCCAATTATAGCATGAGTGTATTGTGATATTTTCAGCATTAACAATCTACACAGATCTTTGCCATTAATATTGACAGTATCTTTGACAACATAAATCTCGCCAAATTTCAAAATGATGAAAAAGGAACTATTTTCTTTTTTACTGTAGATCTTTGCATGTCATGCATATTTAGGTACCCACCTGCCTTCAAATTTGTGTTTTAGAAAATCAAAGAGAGCTTTCTGCATCATATCTGTCACCTGCAACATAACACACACAACTGAGCAACATGAACAACATGACTAAAAATGTAAACTGACATTTTTGGAGAGAGATATATTATCTTGCCTCATAGCCTTTAAGAGATGGTCCCACCAAAATAATGGGTCTCATGGAAGGCACCACATCGTAAGGAGGAACATGTTCCATCTGAAAGTTCACACACAAAATAAAACCTCCTCATTGAAATCATGATTTATATACATGTTTGCCAAAACTGACCTAAAACATCTGGATTTAAAAACATAATTCACACCCATGTGTTAAAGGGTCTTTTTCTTTCGCCAACTTTTGTTTCAAAGCGTTTTTTTTAACCACTTTCTTCTTTGTATTCCCTCTCTAACTCTCTGATATTCTTAGCAGTGGCAGTCCATGAAGGAATTTTCTGGAAAGATGATAAATTAATATTTTTTTAAATATAGGCTAATAACTGAATTTAGTGTAAATTAGTATTGATCAAACCTGATTTCTTATCATTTCAGTCATGTATTTTGTTTAAAATGTATGCTTATATACACAGTCAATATCTCGCTAATATCTTAAAATAGTCTTTATATATAATGTTAATTTATGAATTTAATTTAAAATTACTTTATATTAATGTAATTATACAAATATTACAAGTTAATATAATAAAAGTTATGGCTGTCAATATAAAAAAAAATACAAATAATTTATAATAAAATAGACGGTTTAATTAATAAAATAAATTAACCATTTAATAACATCCAAATTATCAGTTTTTTTTTTAAAACAAAGACATTAGTGTGGTGGATGAACAAGTCATTCAATAGACATGAAACAATTGGCTTTAGAATTCATATACTGTATGTTTACTTCCATATCATGTGAATGGCTCCTCATTTCACTTGCTTGGCATATGAAATATACATTTCTGAGAGAAGATAGATAAATGCCAAAGTGAAATATGTATATTCATTAATGTAAATGTATGTAATTAGGATCAACGGCTGCTTGATAGTAAGCCTAAGGAAATGAGTATTATGTACACTATAAATATTTGCTTATATCCTAACCAGTTGACCAGACTGAAATTTATTTTACTTTTTATGTTATACTTTGGGAAAATATTTATGTATGTACCCATGAAGGAGTGTTGTTTGACTGTTATTGTGCTGAAGTTCATAAAAAGAAAGTAAAAAAAACAAAAACAAAAAAAAACATTTATAATAAAATATATTGTTTTTTTTTAAAACAAAGACATTAGTGTGGTGGATGAACAAGTCATTCAATAGACATGAAACAATTGGCTTTAGAATTCATATACTGTATGTTTACTTCCATATCATGTGAATGGCTCCTCATTTCACTTGCTTGGCATATGAAATATACATTTCTGAGAGAAGACAGATAAATGCCAAAGTGAAATATGTATATTCATTAATGTAAATGTATGTAATTAGGATCAACGGCTGCTTGATAGTAAGCCTAAGGAAATGAGTATTATGTACACTATAAATATTTGCTTATATCCTAACCAGTTGACCAGACTGAAATTTATTTTACTTTTTATGTTATACTTTGGGAAAATATTTATGTATGTACCCATGAAGGAGTGTTGTTTGACTGTTATTGTGCTGAAGTTCATAAAAAGAAAGTAAAAAAAACAAAAACAAAAAAAAACATTTATAATAAAATATATCTTTATACATTACATGCATTTGTGTAATGCACATTTGTAAGAAACTGAATAAAATGCCAGGCAAATAAAATATTTTGCTTTATTCAAAATCTTTTTTTTTTTTTGGATGCTTAGCTTATCAATTGATTCCCAATTCCTCGCACTCCTCTGGTCCCGTTATATAATACATAAATGACCAAAAGCTTCAGAGGGGTAGCTAAAAACAACCGGAACATCTACAATCTACTGTCATCATTTTAAACTCTAATTCACCCAGTCGGGCGTCTGTGCATGTGTGATTGTGTGATGGTAGCCATTGTGACAGCAGTAACAAGCGTGGGCTACTCTCTATGTCACAAACCCATAATGGAAATGGAAACCTTGGAAACCTGTCAGGGTGTTTCTGCCTCATCTTGTGTGCATGTGCAAGAGGATGGCAGACTCCCCATGTGTCCACACGTGTGGGTGGACACATGGGCCGGACTCATTCATTTCTTAATTCAATCTGAATGAGATGTATATGCCCTGTAGAGCTAATAAACCCTGACAGATTTTTCCCTCTCTGAACAATTTTTTTTTGTAAACAGGACTGGAAATATACAGAAATCCTGTCTGTATGCCACAACAATTCACATTCGATCCTTTAGAGAAGCAAACTAGCATAGAACAATTTTATTAGCCTTTTCTGAAATATATTCAAATAAATGCTCAGCTGATATAAGGACATGATGACGATAGCCTTAAGACTCCGATATCTTCATAACAAACCCAAAGAGAGAAATACGAAACAGAAAGTTTGCTGTTGCTATGACTCACCGATTTCTGTTTCTGTTTGGCAGGCCCACCTATCATTCCACACGCACACACACCCGCAGAAGGAGAGAGAGGACAAGCAAGCAAACAAACAGAAGCTTGTTAGTGACAAATTGTTAATACATTTAGGATGCTGGGAAAGGATGAATCAACAAATCAGAGGTGGCCAAATGAAGAAAAGATGGAACCATTAAGGTATTAGATAAACCTTCCTGATTAATCATTCAGGTTGATGTGTAGTAAAATTCTCCCAGCATGAACACAGTCTCATGAGGCTTAATTCAAATGACTGGATTTGTGAGTCTAGATTCACCCAAGAATACACATTCTGTCATTATTTATTCACCCTCATGTCGTTCCAAACATGTATGACTTAAGGCCCGATCACACCAAGAACAATAACTTTATTAGCGTCCACACCAGTGAACTATATCTCGTCTGTTTATTCCAAGCCCACGCTCGTCACTCGCTTTAAATTCTCGAGCTTGTTATAGCAGGATTGATTCTAATTGGCTGTCAATGAATTTATCGTTCATCAGCTGGAAAAAATTATTCTGAAAGTGATTCCAACGATATAGTTTCTCTGTGCCTTTATCGTTATAGTTGTGGTGTGGACTCTGCTATTGTTTAATATTGAGAACGATTTTTAGAACTATATCTTTATCGTTATCTTTATAGTTATCGTCCTTGGTGTGAACAGGCCTTTACTCTCGTCCAAGAAACACAAAAGGATGTGAGAAAATGACAAACAGCACCATTAAAGTACCATAAAAGTAGTCCATATGACTTATGCACTATATACCAAGTCTTTTAATCATATGGCTTCAACAGACTTGAAATATTATAACTGGTGTAGTACTTGTGTTGTTTTTGTTATTTGCAGAGCATTCTTCCTAATATTTTATATATAAGATGCATATATTCATTCTTAATTTCATTCAGTTTTATTTTGTATGATTATACAATTGAAAATGAATAATCATACAGGGTGAGTAAATGATGAAGAATTTTAATTTTGGCTGGACTATACCTGTAATAATGCATTCACTTAATCCCTTGGATGTGAATTTTTACCAAACAAACACACAAAAGGCAAAGACTCCCCTAATGTTTCAAAGACACAGAAGTTGCTTGGTTAGGAACGAGTCTGATTATTAGTCACATCTGAAGGAGGCTGTCTATTGATGCATTCTGGGGTTATCACCAGGGTTACCTTCTTAAAGAAAGGGAGGCGGGACAGGTTGCCTTGAGGGGAGGTGACACTTCCGCCCACACCCTTTTGGTCACGGGTGTTGGCAGGCTCCACCTCCTCAACATCCGAATCCGAATCGTCATAAAGTCCAGAGGACAAGTCAGCTAGGGGACCAATTGGGAGGTGGATGGGTTTTAATAAAAGAGAGGATGGGGGATGGAAGAGAGAAATAGAGAAGGAAATGAGGGTGAAAGAACAGGGAAACAAGGGTAATGGACAGAAAATGAGAGAGGAGGAAGAGAGGAAGAACAGCAGCATGATGTACAGACTTCACCGAGTCAGAAAGGTAATGAGAACACAAAAGGTGTTTTAAAAATGACAAGCAAAATTAAAAAAGAAATTACCTTTTCAAGAAATACAAACAAGTGGTATAGTGTCAAGTCCCTTCTCTGAGTTTGGGTTTTTAAATTAATTTTAAATTCATGTTTATGGGTTAAAGGAATATAATTTACCCTATACTAACAACAAGCAAACGATATTATACTTTTTTTCTTCTTTTAATTGTTTATTTATTAAAATAATCCACATGAAAGTCAAGTTTTTACATTGATTCCAAAACAATAACAATAATATACAACAATATACATAACATTTTTGTAATTTTCACAGAAAAAAGCTACAGTAAAAACATGTCAACTACAGTAATTGCAGTTACATGCAAGTTACCTCATATTTATACTGCGAGAAACTGTAAATAGTTTAACAAAATTTTACTGTGAAATCTATTTTTTTGCAGATAAAAACCATGAAATACCATATAATTTAGGGTGAAAAATAGTAAAAGGACCTTTCAAGTCATCCCTGGCTGACACAACAGGATTAGATTTTATATAAATAATTTTGTTTCTTCTTGTTTTGTACATTATTTATTGCATTATTTTATCATCATTTATGTACTACTTGCGATGAACATACTTTCTATAGATAGGCCACTTACAAAGAATTCTGATTCATCATGTGGCTTTCCGCTTTACCAGTACATTTCAAGGTACAACACAGATTTTAGTAGATTGGTAAATTAATATATATTTAATGTAATATATAAGTTTTAGGTTGATTATATTTTACAGGGAATTTCTGGCAACCACAGCTGCCATATTTTACTGTATATTTAACAGGATATTTTTTACAGTGTCAAGTATCAATCAAAATTGGTTTTATTTGGTTTTATACTTGACCCAAAATTGGTTTTATTTGGTTTTATACTTGACCAAACATCACCAGAAGCGGCGACATCTATAGTTAAATAAGTTGAAAAAGGTATCTGCTGGTGTACAATGTTATTTTAGCAACCTGAATTATTTGTACACTCATATTTTGCTCATTTTCTTTTATTTTTGGGTACTGTTTTTGTTTTTTGTACTTTTATTGTTTTTCATTCCATTCCATTCCATTTAAGGAGGACCTCACTTGCCTCCTGAGAAAATGCCCCTGATTACAAATTAATCAAACTCCCCGAGTTGGCACAGCTAAGACAGAGCGCATAAACCCCAGGTAGCTCAATGTGAGAAAGATTTGAAACTACAATTACAGATGATGATGACAAAGAGAAAAGGAAGAATTGATAAAACAACAGATAAAGACTGGAAGACTAGAAGAATGAGTGTTAAGAGGGAAGAGAAGACGGCAGAGGGGATCCTAAAGGGGTGTTCTAACTGTCACTTTGTTCAATGATTACCCAGTGTGAAAGTAATGGGTTTATGTTCTGTATATGTGTGGGTTTAGAGGCACAGGGATGTCATAACCCATCACAACAGAACCAAAAAACTGACAGCATTACTGTCTGATCATACCTGTTCCAGGTGGAGTGGGCCTCCGGGCACCTGTGGCAACATCCAGACTAGAGCTTCCACCAGACTTACTAGAAATAGATAGAGAGACCAATGGAAAGTACTTAAAACATACAACAATATGGTTAGTGGCTACATCCATCACCTTTTAAAAGTTTCTGGTCTGTAAATATTGTTTACATATTTTTGAAAGAAGTCTCTAATGCTCACCAAGGCTGCATTTATTTGATCAAAAACACATTAAAAACAGAATGTAATTTATTCTTGTGCATGTAATTTTTTAGGATTCTTTGATTAATAGAAATTTCAAAAGAGCAGCATTTATTTGAAACAGAAATCTTATGTAACATTACAAATGTCTTTACTAACTTTTAATCCATTTAATGCATTTTTGCTGAATAAAACTATTAATTTCTTTCAAAAACAATCATGACCCCCAACTTTTGAACAGTGGAGTAGCTAGTGATGCAAGGAGTACATGTCTGTTTCACACAGCAACAACCGCATAAGTGCTACAGCATACAGAAAAAAAACTGAAATAGGCTCATGTGATTGGCTGTTACCTGGAGCTAAGGCGGTTCTGTCTCAATCTCTGTTCTTGTAATTGACGGGTGCTCTCAAGCTTCACTGGACTGGGGATAAACCCCACCTCACATCCTTCCTTCACCAAACGCCCAATCCACCAGTCATTATTATACTTCTGTTAACAGAAAAACACACAAACATAGAAACACATGAACACACAGCTTTTGAATCATGTAAGCCAAAGGTACAGTTACCGTCCATATGATTACATGCATATAATTATACTGAAGATCAGTATATTGTTGAAGGATTAAATTATACATCGAATGGTGCTGTAAGCAATATCAGATATTTCAGCAGTGTTTTTGCGGTTGCCAAAGTAGATGTCATTTATTTCAGTGATGTCTGTCATTTTACCGGTAAATGTTAAATTGCTTACGACACCTTTGAAGGGAAAATATGGCTGTCTGACCTCTTTGATGTGCAGGAAGTCTTTGGATTCGAAAGAGATAGCCATGCCCTGAACCGGCACATCATCATTAGGGCCTGGGTTATAGCCAACATTAGTCCTCACCGCAAACGCTACAGGCTTGGTCTTCAGAGAGAAAGGGGATGAGAGAGATAAATGGAGAGGATTAAAACAGAGAGAACTGTTAGAAAAGAAAGAGCTCCAGCGAAAAACTCTATAGAGATAAAGGAAGGACAGTGGTCATATGATCAGTTTTACAGCTAACATATGGAAGTGATCTTATATATAGTCAAGAGCAGAGGTCTTCAATCCTGCTCCTGGGGACCCACCATCTTGCAAAGTTTATTTCCAACCTACTTCAGCACACCTGCCTGTGTATTTTTAAAGTGATCCTGAAAAGCTTAATTAGCTGGTTCAGGTGTGTTTGATGAGGGTTGGAGCTGAACTCTGCAAGACGGTGGGTCCCCAGGAGCAGGGTTGAAGACCCCTATAGGGACATCTCAAAATGATGTTCTTTCTACAATCAAGTCTATTATCTTCACTCATAGAAGAGTCTGAATAATAGACCAATGAGAAATCGATAAAGAGAAACTGGAACAGAGCATGAAAGAACATGAAAAAGTAAGACACCTTAGCCTTCTCTAGAGTGGCAAGAGCTTGTCTATCGGCTTCTTTCCTGAGAGCCTCAGGGTCCTCCTCCAGAGACACGTCAGAGTCTGAAGGACGACTGGTGTAGGAGTCTGCTGAGCCCTGCCAGAGAACAGAGAGGGGGAGTGAGAGGGAGGCAGGGACGGAGGGTGAATCTGTGTTAACAGCCTTTGGCACAGTGTTTGAAAAAGCTCTTTTTTTAATTAGTATTCCTTATCTAAAACCAAACACAATAACAATTTTACATCTCTTCTTCCACCAGGCCAAAAGAGAAGTGGCACAAATGACCACACAGTGAGTTATTGTACGACATGCAAACAATTTGTGAATGAAGAACAGGTTGAAGGAGAGGGAGAAACAGTGTGGGAGGAAGGGAAAGAGAGCAGAAGGTACAGTACAAACACGAGAAAAGAGTTTCTAAGAATATGAGAGTAGCAAAACAGAAAAAAGCAAATATTTAGAGCAGCTGAATCAAAGGAGATGAGCTTCGCATGATTCTTACAGTTTGTGTATGTGCAAGGATGTAAACAAACATTCGAGATACTGGTGTGTCCTCAACTACAAGAACTTGTTTGTCCCAGGGGTTGATTCTTATTAAAATTGACGTTTAATTAATTAATTAATTAATTAATGTTAGTTTTTTTTTATCACGGTCACATTACAATAATCATGGAAACTTTTTCTTCACGCCTTCATCATTTATTTATGCTATTTTTAAAATGCTTTTGCTTTTCAGATGTATAGTTTTTACTGTTTACCCATTAAAATCCATCAAAAGGTACAAGTGAATATGAATTATTAATTTAATTATTAAAATAAAAAAAACGATTAATAATAATAATTTAAACAGAAAAGAATACTCAATACTTCTGATATATAAAATTAATAATACCAATTTTTACATTAAATTACACGTGTTACTCCCATCACGATTAACAAACAAGCAATCAATAAAGTGTTATCAAAAGTGCGTGTTACCAAGGTGACAAAAGTCTCAATGAAGAGCTTAAGATGAAATATGACATGACAAAACGTGTACAGACTGTGAAAATCACTTGTGTACAGACTATTTTTATTTCCATCACAATCATTTTCACTGCAAAATGCTATCAAGCACAATATATAATTAGAGATTATAATAAAACACACTATGATAAAACACACATATGTCTGTATTGATTTTTACTTGCTTTAGAGTCTGGTTAAGTTCATGAAGATACTAAAAGCAGACAAAAACACACACAAATCGTCGTGGCATTGACTTTCACAGTACAGTACGGTGTCAGAACCTTTATATAAGCCTCCCACTCCTCTCATCTTTTTTCCCCTACTTTCCTCTCGTTTTCCTGTCTATGTTTCAGGTGTCGAGCGGACTCTTATTCGTGGGAGGTGTGGACGGTGTGCGGACAGCTGCAAGAATGACTCACTGGATGGATGCGCTTTGCGTGTGTGAACATGAGTGCACTAGGTTTGTCACATATTTGTGAGTATGTGTGTGTGCATGTGTGTTTTAAATAGAAATGAGAATGTGTCAGACTGACATATGCCATATGCATTGATGTTAAATTATTCATTGTGAAACAGAGGGTCACGGGAACCCAGCACACACACTAAATATCACTGGTTTCACTAGACAGCAACAGATTGCACACACACACACACACACACACTTTGCCTGGTAGACTATCACTTTTACAGCAGAGATGTTATGTTATATTTGTAATTGTCATTAGAGTGGTCATAAAGTGGGCTAAATCTGAATCCTGCCAGAAACAAATCACACAAACACGCACGTTTGTCTATCATGGTAGGGATTTTCCACTGACATCTATATTTTTATACTGACCTGAGTGACCTCATGATATTTCTATCTTCAAACCTTAAGCCAAACCCGTTCTGAATGATCAAGTCATTATTTTGTATGTTTATTAAGAAAAACCACATTGGTCCTGTTGGCTGGTCCCACAGTGTAAGTGATTTCAGGTTTTACGATTCTTGTTGGGAAATCTGACGCCTGAAATGTAGGGAACCTGACACACACCAATGTTTACGGAGCTATTTAAATGGGGACATTCCATAGACGTCTATTGTTTTAATAAACCGCAAGTTATAAATACAATATCCTAAACGAAATGAAAAGGACTGTGTGGGAGAGGTGGAGATGAAGGATTAGTACTAGCTCTGAAAATCTCCCACTCACTCATTGTGGGATGATCAAATGTAACAATTATACCTCTCTATATGAAATCAACAATAAATGACTGGTAGATTATTCTGATGTTATTATTTTAAAATTCCTTTCCCAGGTTTTTATAAGAAATATGATTTCAGTTTAAATGAATGTTTTGCACTCAGCGTATGTTAAGCTCAAAAATGCAGATTACTACATAAAATAACTTCTCTACGTTTAAAAAAGAAGAAGCAAAAATCATGGTTACAGTACTTACACTTACAATGGAAGTATTCAAAACACATTTAAAAACATTTTCAAACTGTTATACAAACTTCATATTTCTCCAAATTTTTTCTTCTTCAGGTTTATACAACTATACAGTACTCTAATGGTGAGTATAAACATATATAGAGTAAGTTCTTTCCAACTAATATTTTACATATAGTTATAATATTTCTATTTTTCACATCCAGGTGGACACTGGTGGTTGAGGAGATTTTCTCCTTCAAAAATGTGTAAAGCAATTTGAGAAAAGCGCTATACAAACATAATGGCACAACACAACAACAATAATAAACAAACAAACAAATAAATTACATTATTTTACAGAATTTGGTTAGGTAATATCAGGTAAAAATCGATATTATGGTTTTATTCTGCTTTCTAAATCACTTTCAAAAGACTAAAATCTAAAATCATGAGATTAATCATAATAATTTCAATCTATTGACAGCAATAGTTTTATGATTCTCTTGAGGTTTATATTTACCAGTACTCTAATGGTGAGCAGAAAAATACACAGTGTTACATATATTTATAGTTACGGTGTTATAGTTATATTTCACGTTACAAATAGGGTGTTTACACATAAAAATATGACTGCCTTTTACAATTCAGAAAGGGGCAAGTGTATCATTATATCTGGGCGTCCATATCATCAAACCCCCCAGTGTCTCTGATAAAAGAAACAAACAGAAGATCATACAACATACTGTTTCTTTCACTGATTTTTAATGTTATAAATAACATGTGGATCTGTTTACGTACTTTTACTGTTTACAGAGTACAATGAGTGTAACATGAAAGTCACAAATGCATGTCGCTTCGGGGAATATGCAACAAAACCATATGCTTCTGAATTCATTTGTTGCCAAGGCACTACATGGATCAAATTATGCATTAGCCTATTTGTCCTTAGGACAGCTGAATTGTTCAGGCATTAAGTGAACAGTCTACACAGAATGACAAATAATGGGAAGCACATGCACACAAGCAGATAATATTCATGTATGAATGCATTGACCCCTACAGCAAAGATTAGGATGCTTTTGAACAAACCCTGAATTCTGTTTGCTCATGCAAGCATTGATACCATCCTCACAATCTGCATCAATCTGATCCTGGACACTCAGACATCTTCAAGCCATTTAAGCAATAAATCACAGCTTTATTATTCCACAGAATCTGACCATCAAACTTAAAAAGACACATTTAACGCCAGATCACATTTAGAGATGTATATCTTACAGCTATAAATCTGACAAGCCAAATACCCTGCAGTGAAAATACAGTGAGACTAAACCTGTTGATGACACAAAAGATTACATTTTACACATTTTCTCTGCATCCTATTCCTAATTCTTTCATATTTTTAATCAAAAATGATGCCAATCACCAAACCAGGCAATTTTACAATTTACTGAGCCACATAAGATTCAGTCGACAGTCACTGTAACCCTGATTTTTACCAAATACAGAGATTTTCCCTCAGCATTTCACCTGCTCTTTCACATTACATCACAGCATTTTAGCATTTCAAATGCTTAAGATGGTTATGAAAGGCTCATCTAGCGATTCAACTCAATGTTGCCTGAAAAAGCACATGCAAAGATATGTTTTCACCCTTATTTATTGTTCTACCTCCACAAAAAGCTCCTTTAAAAGCTCAGTAAACATAATTAGCATTGTGGAAGCATAATTAATCACATTTGATGCAGTTCTATAATGAATGTATGAACACCTCTGTTAGTTGGTACATGTGATTTAGTTGAATAATCACACTCCATGGGTGCCAAGACCGGACAGAAACCCAGGCAAAGGGCCCTGTGACAAGGCAGCCAGTACCAACAAGGTCCCTGAGCAGTGCTGGAGGTCTAATTTAAACCCAGCAGGCCTAAGCAACTGCCCAGCCCAAAATGGAATCAAACAGCAGCATGTGAGAGAGAGAGAGAGAGAGAGAGAGAGAGAGAGAGAGAGAGAAGGAGAGAGAGAGAGGGAGACAATAAAAGGAGAAAGAGGTAGAGAGAAGGTGCAATATTGATAAGAAAAGATCCATGTTTCCAAGGCAGTTTTTTGACGCAGTCGTTAGTACGCTTAATTTACCACCACACAAACTCACACGGACGTTTCCAGGTGTTTCTTACCATTGCGGGCCTCTGAATCCGTGCGTTGGTCTCCATGGCACTCGCTCCTTGCCACGGTAACACAGAGTCACACCCAAAGATCTGAGTCCTCGCTGAACACGATGTGTGTGTGTGTCACAAGAGGGTTTGTATCAATGTGTGTGTAGCTGTGATGGGTGTGTGTTGCAAAAGTCAGCCAGGAGAGTATACGTGTGTGTCAGGGATTGACCAATTGCTCTGCTAACCTCATCACCCCCTCCTGGCTCATTCTGACACTCACAAACACACACACACACACACACACACAGCTGAAACCTGTACTCAGTTTCCAAGTTGAAGGGGGTAAAGAGAGCGAGAGAGAGAGAGAGAGAATTGGGGTGGGGTGGGGGGTCAAATTGCAGGACTTGTGCTACATTTGCAGACTGAGGGGTTAAATTTAGCTGTGACAGGCAGGGGCAGATCTCTCTCTCTCTCACTCAGCCTCTCCCATGTTTAGCTCCGGTATAGAGTGGCGAGTGCCAGAAAGAGTGGGAATGTGAACGTCAGAGACAGAAAGACAGACAGACAGACAGAAAGAAAGAAAGTGAGAGACCCTTTTGAACACTCCCCTCTCTGACAGAAGGCCACCTGACTCATTGTGTCTGTTACCGGTGGATCCCACACACCGTTTATTCAGTTGCGCCACCTGAGGTTGACTCACTCAAGTAGAACAGCTTAATTTAGTTTAAAATCACCTGCGTGTGACCTTGTTAATAGTGATAAACTGATATATTTATTTGGCAGACTGAAATTGGCCAATATTTAAACATTTTGAGATTATCAGTCACTAACAGTGCCTGCAGAAGTGTTTGTTTTTGTTGAAAATGTATCATTGTTTTCTACTATTTGCTTGAGCCAATTGTGTTTGTCTATTGTTGTGAAATAATTGAAAATCAGATCAAATTTTATATTCAATTTATGCAGAAACTTATGGTAAATCCACATTTTCTTCAAACCTCCAATATTCACATACACTCTTAAAAATAGAAGAACCTTTTTGTCTAAATGGTTCCATAAAGAACCATTTAACATCTGAAGAACCTTTCTGTTTCACAAAAGGTTCTTTGTGGTGAAAGAAGGTTCTTCAGATTATAAAAAGTTAAGAAAGGGATGGTTCTTTAAAGAACCTTTGACTGAATGGTTCTTTGTGGAACCAAAAATGGTTCTTCTATGGCATCGCTTGAAGAACCTTTGGAAGCACCTTTATTTTTAAGAGTGTACTTTTCCAGCAACTGTGTATAATCTATCGCAGTCCAGTAATTGGCCTCAGTCATTGAAAAATCTGTATTAGATGACTACTGCCTAGTAATAGATTTAGTGTTTGTCAGCTGAACAAACACTCACCCACACACACACACCCCCCCCCAACACACATGCTATATAAACAAGCACAATAATCCATTTGCCTCCTCCTCTTCCGACTGTGCAACATGCTGCAGGGAGATTCGGGGCCCTGTCACCATGGAAACCTGGCCAGTATAAGAGCACAACCGTGTATGTGTGTGTGTGTGTATTTGTTCATATGTGTATACGCGTGGGCGTCTATGAGACCAAGGCCTACACAGGTTTTCATACTTTCAGCTGCCAAAGAGGGGGCAGACACATGCGGAAACGTACTATACAATCATAAATATTCATGAAGCTTCTAAAGTACGTCCTTACAGGAGCACTAAATATCTTCATCTTTGAAGGTACACAAGTTTGTGAGCACATGTAAGAAGAATCAATTTTATGCACACGTATATTTGAAGATAGGCAGGAGTCAACCTTTCCAGTCTGCATGGGGGGGGGGGGGGGTCCCCCTGGGAAGGAGGAGCGGAGGAGGTACTTTAGCATGAAACCCCTTGTGGATGGGCAAATGTCGTTGAGCAGGGGCTATGAGTAGGGCTTTGGGAGAGGAGGACACATTTCAGCGTGACACAGGAACCTTCCTTAAAATCTCAAGTGGACAGAAAAAGAAAAGAAAAAAGAAAAGGACTTGATACTAACTATATACAATATACTGCCTACTACAGGACCTGATTACATTTAGGGTTGCACTGATATTAAAATTATGACCAAAACGATAAGCCAATAATTATTTCCATGCCCATTAATTGATACATGGCTCATATCAAATTCTATTTTTTTTTTGTCTAAAACAAAAACCTAAAATTAGTTAAAACTGAATTTTGACAAATTGATATTCATTTTGAGATTTGCGAAAGATCCCATTTAACAGAGTTATTAAATTATTAAAAGGGTCATATGATGCGATTTAAATTTTTCCTTTCTCTTTGGAGTGTTACGAGCTCTTGGTGCATAAAGAAGATCTGTAAAGTTGCAAAGACTAAAGTCCAAAGAGATATTCTTTATAAAAGTTAAGAGTCAACCACGCCCTCCTAAAACGCCTCGTTTAAACACGCCCCCACATGTCTACATCACAATGTGGGAAGATTTGCATAATGCCGTAAAGGCGTAACTTTTATTCTCGCTGTTGCCGCCGCCGCCGCCGCCATGTTGACATTCCTGCAGTCAGCATGCCAATTGCACGCTCCCTCAAAACTTGCGACATCTGTGGCATTGTGCTGTGTGATAAAACTGCACATTTTAGAGTGGCCTTTTATTGTGGCCAGCCTAAGGCACACCTGTGCAATAATCATGCTGTCTAATCAGCATCTTGATATTTTTTAGATTTGTCCACGCTTGTATTTATCCAGCAATAAAACCATAGAGATAAATATAAAAGTGCCACTTCAGACAAAACAGATATAACCCAGACAAATAAACACAGTAAACAACTCATGCAAACACGTGCAAACACACACACATGCACTGAAGCAGATTGCACGCAGCGGCTTTTGTGTGGCATCAGGTGTGACCGTGGCATAAAGGGAAATGTAAGGGGATGTTCTGTTGTGCAGCTGCCATTTGAAGCCGTGATCAAACACACCAGCCAGTCCTCAGAGAGCCAAGAAGCACTCAACCTCAGCACTAAAAACCATGGAGGTCTGATCTAATGGCACCGAAAGTAATGGGAAAATTAGAAAGTGATCCATCAGGAGAGCCCGCAGGGATAAGGGGGTCAATTATTCAGGGGTCTCATCCTAATAAACACTGGCTTGAGAGCCACACCCATTAACTCACAACACAATTCTGTGTGTGTATCTGACAGTGGGACTGATATACAATCCCTGGTTGTGACCACATGTTTTTGTCAGCAATCAACACATCGGCCTATACACTTCCACACACACACACCCCCCCCCAACACACATGCTATATAAACAAGCACAATAATCCATTTGCCTCCTCCTCTTCCGACTGTGCAACATGCTGCAGGGAGATTCGGGGCCCTGTCACCATGGAAACCTGGCCAGTATAAGAGCACAACCGTGTATGTGTGTGTGTATTTGTTCATATGTGTATACGCGTGGGCGTCTATGAGACCAAGGCCTACACAGGTTTTCATACTTTCAGCTGCCAAAGAGGGGGCAGACACATGCGGAAACGTACTATACAATCATAAATATTCATGAATCTTCTAAAGTACGTCCTTACAGGAGCACTAAATATCTTCATCTTTGAAGGTACACAAGTTTGTGAGCACATGTAAGAAGAATCAATTTTATGCACACGTATATTTGAAGATAGGCAGGAGTCAACCTTTCCAGTCTGCATGGGGGGGGGGGGGGGCCCCCCCGGGGGGGGGGGGGGAGGGGGGGGAAGAAGAGAGGAGGGCCCCCTCGTCTGGGAACGCATACCCGAGCGCCCAGGGGCGGCACGGAGAGATGCCTAGCCCGCGATCCCCTCACCTTGTCCGGGGTGAGGCGAGTCATCGGAACGTTTGAAACGGCTCTTCCTCTTTGCATACTTCCCCTGAAACATTAGAGAGAAATGAATTAGAAAAGAATGGACACTTTTTTGTATGCATGCCCACTCACTCACACACACACACACACATACAAACACATACATACAATGTGGATTTTAGGCCCGGTCTCTGTGTCCAGATATGATTACCCATAATTACTCATGTCCGCCAGTGTTCTCTGGGAATCAGTAATCTGATTGGCCTTAACATTGGCCAATGGCCTGGCTGCCCTCGGCAGGGCCTCTATGTGGCATTCAAAGGCGCCAGACTCCATTGCCATGGAGATCAGTAGAAGGCTAATTGGGTTTGGTGGCACTAATAGACCCTGATGGATCAGGCAACACTGAAATATGTTCAAACCCTGCATTAACAGCTCACACCATTGGTTCATGCAGTGTTACTATATTATGTCAGGCTGGTTGGGATGTGCAAACAAACAGATCAGCGTTTTGAAAGGGTTTAGACCTTTCAGGGAATCAACTACGAATTACTGGCTTAAAGTTGGGATGTGAAAAAGCACTTTAACAGAAAAAAATTAAACACATCTAACTGAGATTGGAAAGTTATTATCTAGGGGTCATACAGAGTCCAGACATTTAACACTGTCATAATTGTTTCATGGTGATGAACATCTGAAAGGTGCTGTATAACATTTTTGTGCTTGAATGTCTCAAATATAAAAATATGAAATCCTTTTTGCGGTTAAGGAAATAAAATATTAAATAAAACTAGTGCAAATTCTGACAAAGTCATTTACTGTGTGGTTGATTTTGGAAACACACAGACAGAAAACAAGCCTCAACAACAAAGGTTTTCTGCACTGGTTACTCTAACTATGTAATATTATGATTACAGACACAAACCAGTTGCAAGCTTACTACAACTATTGCATAAATCAAACCACAATCAATGCCACATCTTTCCCAATATTGGTAATATCCCAAGGTCTTGCCTCTATCAGTGCCAGTGAAATCATAAAACATTCATTTAAAACCAAACAGAACAGGACAGAACCGCACTGTCTGCATTGCTACTGCGTCATCATAGAAGGTTCATAATAGACATTACAGTCACAAAAAAGGCATAACTGAGCACTGCCATTGCAAGTTACTGTGGTATATGCCAGACACTAGAAATACTTATTTTCCTTCTATAATACATTTCAATATTATTAAAGTCATAATTAATAATTAATATTAAAAACATAAAATCAATTAACCCAATTTCCAACTTCCTTAAAGCACAATCCTGGTCTTGCTGTGCATAAATCACTTGTTTGCATTATTCCCAGTAAAGAAATGGTTAAAATAATGCAGAAATAAAATATAAACATTATATTAAAAACTTCAACTGAAATGAAACCACTTGGCTGGATTCTTGTTTGCAATGATCCAATCTATTGCTACAAAGTTCTACACTACATTTTCCTTCTTAAATG